TCGTGACCAAAACCACCAAAAACATGTCCACAAAATGTAGCGCCCTGAGCCATGTCTGTAATGCTGTCCCAAGTTAGCTAGCATGATAGCCTAACTAGCTAGCACGCTAAACTGACCAGTTCGCTACTCTTCAGTGTTCACAACTCAAACACAGACTTGACCGAAGGCTCAACAGCAACGTAGAGCATTAATTAAACATATAACCTACCCCAATTGCTCCCGTCCATGAAGTTCCTCTCCTCAGGTGAAACGCTGCCGTCCTTGTTCAGGTTCTACTGTTCCGTCGTCTCGTTGAAGAAAGGAGCGCGAAATCTCCTCTGACGTCACCCCCTGAGTACGCGCTATAGGTTGCCAGGTTTTACTCGTATTACCCAAGTACATTTTACTTTGTTGTGTCAGGTAGTGCATTCAATACAGTAGTTTAGTAGATATTACTTAGTGTGAATGATTAAAATGTACTTATAAAAATGAGGATACATAATTACAAACAAACACCAAGTAACACATTAAATAAAAGGTGATATTTTAAAGTAAAAGCACTGGAATGATAATTTCTTGTAAAATTTACAAAAATAATCGAGGTAATAATTACGGGGCCAAAAAGTATTTTTTTTCAGTGTACCTACCAGTAGCTCCGAACTCTAGAAAGGTCGGGGCAAATGTAATTTTAAAGTTTGTTCAGTGCAGAGGAGGATAACAGCTCAGGAGTTTGAATCAAACACTTTTACACAATATGCACAACTATTACAAGTAGATTTTGTAGGAAATAACTGCTAAGAGTGAATGTGCTGAGAGGAAGAGAAACAGAGGTAGAGATCTGAGCCCCGGAATGAAGTGTTGCAACATCCAGAGCCTGCCAATAAAGAGAAATAGAAATAACAAATCGAACCATAACAGCTGTTGCATCAAATACTAAACAAAAATAAATACTCAGTGCCTGAATATTAGACATGCAAAATAAACATAACAGGACAGAGAGGACAGAGTGCTGCAGAGAGATAGGTGTTGTGGTTACTGAACAGTGTTATCACGTCTGTCCATAGGCATCATTTTGGGTGTGTGTGATGATTAACTGGACAGCAGGGTGGAGCTTCTCAACACCCAGCTTGTTCTGTACGTAAAAACAAAGTATTTCTGTTTGGTAAAATTAATTGAATTTTTTCAAAACGTTATTGTGCTTTTGCTTTTATGCTTTCCACTATTGAATTTCTTCATGCCTTCAAAAATACCTTTTGAAACATTATCTGAGATGTTAACAGTTCAATAATCATTAAGACATAACAATACTGGACACTGGCAATTTCGGGTGATAAGCGTAACTTTACCTCGGCTCCTCGGTTGATCTTCACATGGCTGTGCTCAGGAGGATGGCTACTGAAGCTGTGTCCAAAGTCACAATCAGGAACAGTCGATCACATCTTGTCATTGAAAAATTATTAGTGGGCTATGAGCAGTTTGATTAATAAAAATGTGCTATTATCATAACGGAAAAATAGCCTATAATCAACAAACAGTACGATGTTGTTAGATAGTGACTCACTGAACTTGTATAGAGAAGCTTATTTCCACCAGTTCACAGAAAATATTGTATTATGCTGGTAAATTACAGTTATCTGCCGCTATGGTTAACCAACGGCATTAACTGTTAATTTACGGAGGACTTACGGAAGGACGAATATTTAACTGTATGTTACAGTTATTATGAAATACTGTAAGATACTGTTGTAAATCCACAGTAAGTTTACAGCAATTCATTACAGTGTAGAATTGTCAGGATGCGGGTGTTGAGGTCAAGATTGGGTTTGATTTGCCCTGGGCTTTGCAATGTGGTTGAATGTGTGATTGGCAGAATTTGTATTTTATACACTAACTAAGTAACAAGAAACACTTCAGGAGAGAGACAAAGAGAAAGGGATGTGTCAGTGACATCAGTCCCAGGCAATGAATTGGAAACATACACATGTAAATCAAGCTGCAGTAACTGTGATATCCTGGAATTTAATTTGTTTTTTTTCAGGGCTGGGTTTGTTTAGTTAGCGTTGTCCTGCAGATTAAACCAGAACAACCTTTGGCTTTAATGACGACATCAAAAGACTGGTTTGGTGGACACTAAACAATACCCCATTTTGTTTATTGTGACTAAACATTTCTGTTCAAGAATGCTGCTTACCCTGACAATATTGTGCTGCATATCAGGAAATGTAATACAAGTTCAATGTAGATATGGAATCCCAGATTCCTGTTTTATAGTCCTCACCACCTCACAAAACAGTTTTTATGGTGCAATGCAGAGACAAAACTAAAGTGGTAAAGAGATTTAGATGGCAGCCAGGTAGGAGACATGACATTTACAGCCTGCCTCTGATGTGGTCTAATTCCTGCTGACAGGCAGGAAGACAATGTGTTTTATGCTTTAGCAACTGGAGGAAATAACAGAGTGCTTGTGTGTTGGATTCTTTGTCTGTGTTCCAGTTATTGTCCGAGTCATATAATAACTATCATGAAGCAACTCAGAGAGAAAGAAAGACAGAAATAAAAAAAAAAGACAAAAGAATGAGCTTTTAACTTATGTTGACCTTTATTTTAAATCTGTACTGATGTAGTCCACAGAACTTGATGGAAAAAATACTTATATTCGCAATTTAGCAGTAGTGGAGGTTTGTTATGAAGTGTTCAACATGTAAATGGTTCAATCTCTGGTGAACATCATGGGTTCAGCAGATTTGTCGGGACTCTGCCAGTTAGATTTTGATACTTCTGTGAGGGTTTTGGGGTAGAGCAGAGACTCAGGCGCAGACACAGACACAGGAAACAAGGGGAGGTATAATGCAAGGTTCTTTACTGGGCACCAAGCAGTCAAGAACAGGAACTAAAAACAACTCCAACAAGGAGCGGGAAAAAATCCAAACTAAATAAAAAAAGGCAAAGTCACAAACCATGGGACGGAGAGGGTCAACACGAGGGATAAACACTGGAGACACGATGAGCCCACGGGGAGGGACAAGGCCGAAACATGAAGCACCCCGGGGGAAGAACAAACAACAAATAACAATCCAACAACTGGAACAGGGGAAAGCAGAGGAGTATAAATGTGTGTGGGGCGATGAGAAGATTGCAGGCAGCTGAGTTGAGATGAGTGTAGTGTGGGTTTGGCAGAGGGAAAAGCCAGGGGCAGGTGATTGGGCACAGGTGAAGAGAATGAGCACGATCAGGAGAAACACACGCACACACACACACACCAGAGGCAAAGCCTAACCGTGACAACTTCTTTTCTATAGGGGAATATTTCTGCCTGATGTTGGCAAAAAGGTCAGGAGGTCACCTTAACATCAAGTTACATCCTCTGGGAATCCAGACATTTATAAAAAAGGATTTGTTGTCATGGACTGTGATTCAAGGAATTCTTTGAGTGGATATTCATGTGTGTCAGGGAGTGACAAATGAGAATGAGAATGAAAATCACCGCACATTACGTGACTAGTAGTTGTTCAGATATCTTACTCTGGACCAAATTTCATCCACTATCAACAACATTTGATTATTATCAATTAAATTATAAAATGTATGCTACTCTAGTGAAGTAAGCACAGGGGCAATGCTGCCATCTACATATTTATGTATCTATACATCATACAGTATTAACCATGTTGAAGAGATGCCTGATATCCTGTGGTTATAATAACATTCTCACCTGTATGCTTGAGTTTTTTCCTGTATGTGTGCATGTTTTTTTTTTACACATGTGAAGGCTCACAGTTGTGTGTCCGCTGATAGATTTTAAGTAGGACTTGAACTTGAAGCTGGCCAATTAAGGGCCAAACAACAATTTGTAAACCTCTCACCTCCATGCTCAAACTGTGATCTCAACAGGCTGAGATTAGTCCAGACCTTAACCCTTGGTGAGCCAGTAATTATCTCTGCATGTGTTTAACAAGAGGAAATAAACTTGCACGCTTTCTTTATTTCCAGGTCTAAATATTGGCAGATCGTCTCAATTCCTTCAAGCCAGCAACACCTCATAAAATCCCTCTTGTTGTACCATATGTGCAAGAGAAAGACAGCTGTGGAGCTTTCTCTTCTTGGAGAACTCTTCCTGACAAGTTAGCCCTGTCTGTGGGCTCTCGCTGAGATGAAATGATGATAGTGCCACAATGTAAATCACACGCATTGTCCTCAAGGTCACTGCAGTGGCTTTTAATAAAGTCATAAATTATTCCCTCAGGTCATTATTATAAAAGCAAAGTTTCCAAAAATTGGTCAGATCAAATGAACTTCTAGTGCAGATCTTCCGCACCCAACTACAGTGATTATATAATGTGCTGCCAAAACATGCATGAACTAATACGTATTAGTGTGCATTCATCCTGTGTGCAGTAATGAAGGGTCTGCACTGCTAACTAAATGGACTGTACTATAGTGCTTTTCTAGTCTTTCCGATCACTCAAAGCGCTTTCACACTACTTGTCATCATTCACCCATTCACACCCTGATGACACCTGCCTATCAGATTCTATCACATTCATACACCGTAGGCACAGCTACAGGAGCAATTTTGAGCAAGTGTCTTGCTCAAGGACACATCGACATGTGACTAGCGGAGCCGGGAATCGAACCGCCGATCCTGCACGACCCTGCTCGCCTCTTAGCTACAGTCGCCCACATGCTGCTTTCACTATGCTGCCTGTGTAAACAAGGTGTTAAAGTCTGCAGTAGCAAAAAGAACACATGAATGTGTCAGGTATTAGATTAATGCTCTGACTATTCTTTACACAGTTTGACAAATCCTCACACACTCATTCACCAAGTCCTTATTCCAAAACAAAAACGTTTTCTATCAGTGTCTACCAAAACAAAAGACTGATCTTTTTTTAAAGGTTTGGTTTCATGTCTCTTTCAAGACCAGAAGTTCTGGGTATGTAAGATCATACTGCACATGCAAGAAGCTCGTAATGTATCTCTAAATTAATGCTGTTGTTTCACTCTGGTGTTTGTCTTTGCAGCTTGTCTTTTTCGCTACAACATATTGTCACTGGTTCACTTCCTCTACCTGCTGCTGCTGCCGTGGTTCCTGAGTCCCAACAAGCACACAATCAGAGGTGAGATCATCGTTTGTATGTCAGATCTCTTATGGCATTTTACACTTAGTTGCTTTTCCTCAGTACAAAAAGAAACAGTGGTGAACAACCCCCTATAAAATAGGATTATGCAAGAAATAAAAACTGAATCCTAATTTTAACGAGGGGCACTGTTGTATTCACACCTCTCACCAGTGTTGATATGAGTTCAGGTTTATCCCACACAATGAGCCTGTTAATAATCCAATTGTTTATAATGAATACTAAAATGACCTCTTCAGAGCCTTCTGAGCTCTGTAAACTTTGAACAAGTCTAACCAAAACAACGGCTCCTTAACATTTCCACAACCACAGCCGGTTTGATTGCTGATATCCATAAATCATGTTTTGTTGAAAGGAGTACAATGAAATGTAACTCTGTATTATCACATTTGAAACTACTTCAGCAGTCAGTATTAATATAACTACAGGCTGGCAGTACTTATTTTCTGCCCGCCTGTATGACAGCTGCAGGACCTTGTGCTCCCACAAGGCAGTCAACAATGGGTGGTCTGTTCTTTCCCTACAGTGTAATGGAAATAAAGTTTTCCACCCAGTATTTCAAACACAGAGACAAAGATATGACATGTGTTAGTACTGACATGAGTCCAAGTTTACATCAAACAAGTCCAGCACCCTTGGTAACAGGGTTTGAGCATTGTATGTGTAAGCTGAGTGGCCTAAATTTAGCAATTTTTTGCACAATCTTTTTCTACTGTGCTTAAAATGAATATTTGCCTCATTTTATTTTTCACAAATTGGAGTGCTGGAATGTTTTCAGTCTATCTTTTGGCCACAAACCCCACAATGGAAGTGTTCCTTGGCTGACAATGTGGATATATGTGGAGTGTAAATGTGCAAATTACCGTGTGACAGAGCTCAGACAGACTAAGTAGACTCCAGTAATCAGTAGTTTTTTTCTTGGGGCACAAACATGATCCACGTAAGTACATGAACGCAAATGACGACACCTGGTCCAGCCAAACCCAGATGAACATAATCAACATAGAGTTAATCACAGCGTTTCCATGACCACAATAGTAAACAAACATGCCCTCTGTGGAGGAATGTGTAAGTATCAGCTTTCTCTTGTTGTTTCATGCTATTGTGCCCCTAGCTGTAATTCTCAGGCTGCAGCTCAGGCTTCTTGACACACTCAGAACGCAGAGACACGCAAAATTGATTTTGCGTACCGTGAAGCTTGCCTGGGTCCAGACCTTTGAATTGATTAGAACTGATTAGTCCGGCATCGTGACATGAAACAGCAGTTTCTCGATAAAGAAATCACAGCAGGTGACTAAGAATTAGCACCAGGGCGGGACTATTGCAGTTATCAAGCCATTGTTGAGCTGTTGTCAAGCCATGTCAACCGTTGTTAGCTGTGCGCTGTAACCAAAGAGTAATAAAACAGTGGAGACCGCTACATACAACACTGTTGCTGCTACGATGGCTGTTGTGAATTGATTAAAAGTACAGAAGAGCACTCTGATTTGATGCCTGGAAAGATTTATTATTTACCTCCATCTTTCTGCTACGAGATACCAAGTGCACACTCTGGCATAGCTTCTATTTTCCGCGGTTTCTTTGTTTATCACGACCCCTCTTGTGTACTCTTCTCCAGCCTTCCTTATTTATGTCCATAACCAAAAATATTAAGCTCTGACTGACACTTTGGGCTGTTGAAGACTAGTTTTGAATTTGATATGACCCCCATGATTTACAAATTGATTTTACATTTATGGCACATCTTCTCAATATTGCCCGTCATCGTAGGCTAGTTCTGTTTTTATTAACTTTCTCTTTTAACTCGCTTAAAATATAGTCAAAAAGTATGTTGTCAGGGTTGTCTTGACTCGTGGCAACATACAGTATGTCTTGTCGTCCTAAAAGCTGGATACGGTAGTTTCTAGTGATTGGTTTGCAAAAATCGAACACCCACCCCCCATGGAAATCGATTAGAGTGGTGTCAATAAAGATGGAAACGAGTGAAACGAGTTGACAGTTCTGTCTGATATCTGATAACCTCGAAGAGTCTGTGTTCATGTACTCTTTTGAACCATATTTGTGAACTTATTCTTGATTTTGCCTAGTTAAACAATAGAGATTTATTTTTTTAAGCATTTTCTACTATAACAGACACATTTTTGCATCCATTTAGGGAGGAAGCTGTGTGTGTTGTTTAAGTTCACTTATTTCCTTGTATGTGTTCACACTGCCTCTTTTGTTCTACTTTACTGTGTATAATCTGCATGTGTTGTGTAATCTTACATTATTGTCTCAACCAGTATTAACTATGGTTAACAGTTTAACCTCAAACTAGCCAATCGATTTCTCCCAAAGATAGCCCAATGCTATATCGAGACTTTCATAGATTTAGCTGGCCCAATGCTAAGATAAGAAAGGGTTATACATACTATGTATAATGGTCATACCATAGTAGATGTCTTCACCATGACCTATTGGTTTGTGGACTGCCGTTTTGAAGCCTTGAGTTTGGCATTTTGGTTGTCACTATCTTGTTTTTTGGCTGGCTCCATCTTTGCTTTTTAGGTGGAGCTAAGTACAACCGAATGCTGAATAAGACATTTTAGGCAAACAAAAGGTTACAATTAACTTTCATGAACTCAAAACAAACTGAAAAGGTTAGAGTTCTATGACAAAAACACAGATGAAAAAGACCAGACAACGCCATGGTGGCGACCTGTCAATCACATGGTAGTTCAGTATTGACTGAACCCAGAACGCAACACACAAACTCTGACGAGCTAGTCAGAGGGTTAGTGTTCTTGGGGCTGATCCAGTGGCTAATAAGACGTGAACGAGGTGCTGGCTTTGATGGCTGAGTGTGAGCAGACAAGCAGGCAGGAGACTGGAAATCCAGAACAGCAGACTGTCGGGGGGAGGTGAAGTGAGTGTTAGCTCAGGAGCAAAAATACTAAGAATTCAGAGAACATGACGTATAGAGACATTTCTATGAAAGAATGACACAAATCTATGACTATCTAGGTAACAATGGGACCTGCAAAATAACGTGTTTACTGATTAACTTCTCAACCAACTACAAGAGTAGAATGCTGCTGACATATGTATGCATAAGCAGTTATGATCTAGATGATAGTGTTTTACTAGTTTGGTCAATGTTTCTACTGTGGTCATTCATCCCAGTTCATAGATTTTTTGCCTTCCTTTCCATTCCTCCCTCCTGTCTTCTGCTCTGGTCATTAAAATGTGTAGAGATTATTTTATTTTGATAGGAGAATAGTTAAAGAGAGACAGAGGGAGGAACAGAGAGCAACGGGGAGTTCCCCTAAAGGAAAACCCACACGGCTGCCAGGACCCTGACACGTGCACACAGACACTGTCATACGCACAGACACAGACACACATGCTCATACACACACGCATAGACACACGGGGAAAATCAAGTGACTAATAGGAAGCAGAACTGTTAGGCTCTGGGGAGGATAAAGAGACAGTTTAAGTCAGAGCTAGATATTACTCAACAACTGGCATGTGTTCAAGTATTGAATTATACTACTATACATCATGCATACGTCTGTTATTCTTAGTTATCCTGTTAGGAGGGGATTGAGAGTGTTTAAGTTTGAGGATGGTGATGTCAGACCAAAGTCTGTATGGTCCTCAGAGGAGTAATCTCTATGAACTCAGTGATGCTGTGATGTTACACATTTAAAGTGTGTTTTTTTTCCAATCTCTTAAGTGATGAGGTCTGGAGTACACCAGTATATGTGACTACTTGAATATTATACATTAGCATTTATTAGCACATTTAAAAAAACGTTTTATGAAACAAAGCATATCTTCACGTGTTGGATGTTGGATGGTCTGTTCATTGCACTTTACTCAACTAAATACTACTTGCACTTGATTGTCCGGCCTTCCATCTGTTTGTCCGGTCCATTCAAGTGAGCACGATATCTCAGGAATAACCTGAGGGAATTTCCTCAAATTTGGCACAAACGTCAACTTGGATTGAAGGATGAACTGATTAGATTTTGGTGGTCAAAAAAGGTCACTCTGACCTCACGTACCTTTTATTATGCATTTACTTGTTTTAGTCTCCTAACACAGTAATGCATATTGGACATATACGCAATGGGGGCAACTGTGGTAGAGCAGGGTCGTTCTTCAATCAGAGGATTGGAGGTTCGATCACCGGCTCCGCTAGTTGATGTATCCTTGGGCAAGACACTTAACCCCAGATTGCTACCGCAGCTGTGCCTACGGTGTGTGAATGTTATATGAATGTTAGATAGTCCTGATGGGCAGGTGGCATCTTGCATGGTAGCCCCTATCATAAGTGTATGAATGGGTGAATGTAGTGTTACAGTGATTTGAGTGGTTGGAAGACTAGAAAAGCGCTATACAAGTACAGACCATTTACCATTTTACCATCAACCAGATGAAAGGCATAAAGTGGAGATTAGACCCTATGAGGAAATGATGAATTGGAGAGCCTAAGTCAGAGATGGAATGGAAAGATCTGAAATGACAGACAGAGGCAGGGTCTTGTCATTATGCTTATGCATATGCAGTGTACCTTTGTAAGTTGTGACAGGCAGAATTATCTAATAAACGATTAAATATATGAGAGAATATATCAGTGGATTCACTGTGAGAAGAGGAGGCAGGTCCCAGGTCACCTTGTTGTGAGCAGTTTCATATACTGTAGGAACTATTTTATTCCAATCAAAGTTCCCACATGAAACTGCTCACAACAAGATTTGTGGAGTATCTGCATCATGAATTCTGGCAAAGACATTGCTGTTGAAATTTTCAAATGTTTTTTTTGGCACTTTGAGCACAAAAAACCGACTGCCATATCGTCCCATTAAATTCGAGAGAAGCCAAACATCTCTCCGGCTAATATCTCCAAAACAATCTAGATTGATGAATAACAAGGAACTGGTACAATTAAGGTTTCAATGGTATAATATGTTTGTTTTTTAAATAAGTAATTCTACGCAACAAAACACTTTAGGAAAAACATGACAAATGTATGTATGTGTATTATGCACAGTAACTCAACAACACTTTAGGACACGAACACCGGACTCGTGGTTGAAATTCCTGTGTTGTTTGACCCATCCATCTCCTCTCCTGCCCACTGTCAGGCTTTCTCACTGTTTATCAGTGCGAAAGAGATCACGTCATCAGCGCTGACCATTGTATCTATAGTCATGTGGATGTGTTTACTTTGTGTGTCCATAAAGAAAAAGGATCCTAACCGTCTGTTTATTGGTATTGTTTCCTTGGTGCCAACAAGTAATATTACCACATTCCGTGCCACCACCCCATAATGCAGGTCCTGGTCATTTCATGTATTTCATGTAAGTCTCTGCACTCTGCTGTTCTGAATGTTGTTAAAGATGAAAGTGTTGTAGCCAAGCAAAACATGCTGTGTGATACCTCCATACTGTAATCTAGTTTGTTGTGTGCCATTAACTGGACCTGCAAACTCTCACAGAGATAAGACAGTTTGAGACATGAAAAGACAGTGATGAGATGAGATGGTATGTTGCCAGGTTGGGATGTAAATAAAAGATGAAAGCTGTTTATGTTGCATGTATTAACAAGTCTAAATGAGAATCAAGGCCACAGAGCAAATCTAAGCAGGAGGAAAGGTGCCTATGCTGCTCTGTGTCTGTTATTTGCGAACATGTCATCCATTAACATTTTAGAAGTTGATAGAATATGAAGACATCTTTTTGCTTTGGAAACTTTCTTTGGACTATTTAAAACAGGCAGTATTCTATATTCTATATTAAATAAACAATTACATTTATGGGAACATTTATTGCGGAGGTTTAGAGAGTCTTTAGTTTTTTGTTTAGTCAGCATACTGACATAGAGGTGAGCTTTACTACAGAGCTTTACTCGGTCAAAATCAACATCTTTTATGATGTTTCCCAATCATCTTCTGTCCTCTATCAGTGCTGCAGCCACGGTAAAGAGCCAGTTGTGGCTGTATCTGTAGCAGTCCTGTCATGTTTAACTAAATCAACATGTACATTTTCCATACATTCTAATGCCAAAAGGCCATGATTTAAATAGGTAGGCAAACCCAGCAATGATCCAGATTCCGTGTTTGATAGGGGCTTATTCGTAGGCTTATTTGTACTCTGAGCAGGTCTGTCCTGGGCGGGGTTTTTTGGACTGGTTTTCGTCACACTCCTCCCATCTTTTTTCTGAACGCATAGCTCCTCCTCATGGATGCCAACACAAAGTGATTGATGGTTCAGCAGTGAACATGAACAGTGAAGGAAGTTAACATGAGAACAGGATTTTCTAGGTGCTCTGGCTATTTTCATACTGACATTCAAATAGAATGGGTGTTTGTTGGTTTCTGAAAGTTATAAAAAATTGAAATTTGAAAGGATTCTTTTATTGCTTTGTCTAAATACCTTTTGAGTTTATCCATATTTAGTTCTTGAAGTTGCATGAGTGGATTGCTCCCTCCAGGTGGGGACGGAGTGCCTACCTCAAGCGAAGGAGTTCAAGTATCTCGGGGTCTTGTTCACGAGTGACGGTAAGATGGAGCGGGAGATCGACAGACGGATCGGTGCAGCTGCAGCAGTAAAGCAGGCGCTGCACCGGACCGTCTTGGTGAAGAGGGAGCTGAGCCGGAAGGCAAAACTCTCAATTTACCACTCGGTCTACGTTCCTACCCTCACCTATGGTCACGAACTCTGGGTCGTGACCGAAAGGACGAGGTCGCGGCTACAAGCGGCCGAAATGAGTTTCCTCCGTAGGGTGACCGGGCTCAGCCTTAGAGATAGGGTAAGGAGCTCGGTCATCAGGAGGGAGCTTGGAGTAGAGCCGCTACTCCTTTGCGTCGAAAGGAGTCAGCTGAGGTGGTTCGGGCATCTAATTAGGATGCCTCCTGGACGCCTCCCACTGGAGGTTTTCCGGGCACGTCCAACTGGGAAGAGACCCCGGGGAAGACCCAGAACACGCTGGAGAGATTACATCTCCCAGCTGGCCTGGGAACGCCTCGGGATCCCCCAGAATGAGCTGGAACATGTTGCCGGTGAGAGGGAGGTCTGGGTCGGCCTGCTTGACCTGCTGCCACCGCGACCCGACCCCGGATAAGCGGTGGAAAATGGATGGATGGATGGAAGTTGCATGAGTGAGAATAGCAAGAAGGTTTTTGTTTCTAACCTGCCGCCCAGCTGGGTTTGTTGTGTGTGGTGTTTACATGTTCTTCCTGTGTTTGTCTTGATTTCCTCCAGGTGCACTCACAGTCCAATCAAACCTAAACATATTTCCAGCAAGAAGTTAGGAGGTTTCAAATGCTAGTTTTACCTCTAGTGTGAGTCTCAAGAATGATTTTGAGAAATATTGTTCCATTAAGGAAATGGCTTGAGAAGACGTATGTTTCGAGCAGTGTTTGGTTTGAAAAATGTCTTATGATAATCAGCTGTGCCAGTTGCCACTTTCGCTTTGCGGCTCAGCTCCATTAGGCTCTGCCTGCCTCACTAAATTCTGGGTCGGACAAACAGGGATGTCCCAGATGCTATGTCCATGTTTTTCTACAGTCTGTGGTCACATCTCTCCTGCCCCCTCCTTTCTCAAAAAGAAAAAAAAGTAAATGACAAGTTTGCGGAGAAAGAGACATGACTACAACAAAAAAGGCTAAAGACCTATATATGATACCTTCTGAGTAAATCAGGAAATCCATGCAACCCACCAGTTAAGCTGCTGTACATTGTAGTGACATTGAGAGTTCATCTTGGTCAGTGGGCGAGCACGTGACTAATGTGAAATTTAAGGAAGCTGGTAGAAGTTAATTGGAGTAGTAAGAGTTCAAATTGAAAGATATGGAAGAAATTATAACTTTTTAGGGTTTTGCTTGGTGTAGTTTATTAATTATTTTACCTAGCTTTGTTTTTTTAACACTCAATGGCTGACTCAGGCAGGAAAAGGATTTGTATGAACGGTGTTCCTGGCTGACAGCGAGTGGATCTACAGATTAACTAACACGCTTTCGCCGGTCGCGCCGGCCGGCTTTCGCGTGGACCTTAGCTGGGCCTCAGCTGTTTTTTGTTATTGTTCCGGGTTCAAAAGGTCACACATCCCGTTGTTTGTTACGTGAGCGCAGTCCACCGAAAACATTATATTTCCCACAATTTAAGCTTCTGCATTTTCCAAATGCACTAGTATTATTCAAACGTATTGTTTGGTTAGTAAGCCTCGTACAAATAACCGTAGCTCAGTAGGACAGCATAGAAGGCCCAGGTATAAAATGCACGGCCTGCCACTGATGCTAAGTATGATTTGTCTGTATTTGACTCTGTATTTATGTGACATTTTACTGTACATTGAGGTCTGTTTCATCTCCATCCTCTGTCTTTCTTGTCTCTTTGTCTTCCAGGTCACACGGGACAGTTTATTAGAGTGGTTTTCTGTACCAGTCTACTATTTGTACTGGCTCATATCTGCTTCCAGACAGTACTATACACATATCCTCCTCTCAACATCGCCATAGGTGATAACTGTTCACAATGGGACACCATAACCAGACATATAGGACTGTCCAGGTATGTAACTAGTGAAGCACCAGTTATACGTGCCACTGTCATTGTCAAGACAACAGTCTGATATGCTACGAATTAGATATGCCCACATATTTCAAGTAATATGAGACAGGAGACAGGAGCAGATTCATTTTATCTGCCACCACAGGAAGAAGACATGTAGAATATTTTAGGAAATATCAAAATATATAATTTTTCAGTTGCACCTACCTGCAGGTGTTTGGAAATGGGAACATCTTTGACCTCCCTTAACATCTACATATGCATGTCTGTGTCTCATAGGGTTCCCTTGGATGATCCTTGGAGTGTGTTACGCCTTCTGTGTCCTGACATGGGTGTGTGTGTGGTTGCCTTGATAACAATCGTCCTCTGCAGAAGATTGGTCAGGAACAGAGAAATGGTGGCTGCTGCCAACATTACATCGGTGAGTCATGTGTATGTACAGTATGCAAGATTGTGATACAGTATGGACCCAGGGGTTGCTGTGTTGTTGGGTTAAAAAAGTCAAAGTTGATACAGTGTTTGATTAATTATATGGAGGTGCTGTTTTATGAAGCAATTTAACTGGATGATTACGGTAGTAAGCCTCCTTTACTTAAGTAAGGTTTTATGGAGCAGGTTTGCACGTAACAGTGCCTCATCAAGGTGCCAGTAACTAATTAAACAAGCCTGAGTCCTGGGCAGGCCTTAATTGCATTAACACGTTCTTGATTGAAGCTCATGTTGATTAGTAACTTATAGAACTGGCTTAGCATTAGGCCCAGAGTTTAGTTTTCCATCTAAAGCCACTTTCCCACTGGATAAACCCCCTGGCAAAAAACACTATCAACCTCTGACATCTGGCTTTTGTGTTTAGTAGGAAAGGTTACAATCGGTATATATTCATGGGACAAATTTCTCTGCAGTAGCCATGCTGTTTATCGGCCATAGCTTCATTCTGCAGTGGTGGAAACAAAACACCCGGTTGAACATGCTAATTTTGTTTATCTTAGAAAGAGAAGAAGGAAATACAAAAGGAATAATGTAAGGGGAAAGGAAGATGATTGCTGTATTCAATATGTGATATTCAATTTAAAATTTACAAACTAACAAACTCTGTCCGTAAGATAAAGTAAAACATAATTTGGATTATATTGAAGTGTACTGGAGAAAAAGAAGAAAATCTCAAAAATTAATTTTATTCAAGTAATGCAAAAGCAAAACTGTAGTTCAATAACTGAACCTGGTTACTTTCTCATTCTGTAAAATTGGTTTTGTCATGGTAAATCTCTAGGGCAGTGTGATATTTCACATTTGATTTATTATTATGATATAAGTGTACGTTTTTGTTTTGTTTTTTGAAGTTCACAAACAGGAGTACACAGCAGGATTCACCTCTGATCCAAGTGTCATTTGTTTCACTTCTCATTGTATTGACCAGCTCTAAGGCTTGCCTCCATGTTGGGAACACTGGCCCTTGGTAAACTTTGAGACACAACAGGCATAGTTGGCCTGATGTTAGCATGTAATGGAAAATCCAAAAACTGGTATCTGTGGTTTCTCACAGACCTCAGGATGGATATGGGCTAGGAGACCTAATACATTTACAGTAGTGGGTTTTTGTAGTCTTTAATAATTGTCTCTAATTATTTACATTTTTCTTGTATTTGGTCTTGTTCGGTGTGTGTTACATGTTTCTTGGCATATGTCTTTGAAGTGCTTTAACTATATCTTCATCTTAAATTAATGACTTTGTTTGTTTAAGATGGTCCCAGAAACGGTTAGTTTGTTGATTTTTCAACTAACTTTATCTTGTTTTTGAGCTGGTGCGCTCATTTAATTAACTGTTTATTAAGTGTGTACCTTAGTGCAGTGATTCTCAACTGGTGGGTTGCGATCCAAAAGTGGATGGCAGAGCCGTTTTCAGTGGGTCGCGGGCCTTTGACTGACACAAAAAAAAAAAAAAAAAAGTGATTTTATTTTGAAAGGCATTTTTTATGCAGCGGAATTATTCCAGCATTTACGGCACTTGTTCAGCGGTGCAGGAAAAACACCGACCAATGCGTTGTGAATCACATCACGTGATGCAGCTCAGCCAATCAAATATGGGTATTCTGACAAGTTTCCTGATTTGAGTGAGATGTACACACACCGTGACACACACAAGGAGGAGAGACCAGGATATAGAGAGTAGAGCAGGACCTATTGAGGTGTGAGTTGTGAAAGTCAAATCATAGAATGATTTCCAAACGAGAAGAATGGCCAGAGAGACTAGAGTCATCAGACTCTGACTGGACAGACATGAGTCTGGGAAGAATTCACCTATATGTATAGGTGAATTCTTCCCACACTACTTTCTCTTTTTAGAAGATGAGAAAAATATAATGTTGTGGCTTTGTCACTTCACGCTGAATGAACTGAATTTAAAGCTAATAAGTGAAAATAATTTTTCTAAAATGAATTTTGTTACGTAATTAATTTTTTAATCCAGCCATTATTTTATGTCACTAATATATGACATATATGTATATATGTGTATATATATATGTATATATATATGTGTGTATGTATATATGTATATATATATGTGTGTATGTATATATATATAT